TTCACCCGGCTGGGGACACCACACACCTGAGCTGGAGCGAACCTTCCACGGGGAGCTTCCGGCTGCTCCAGAGAAATGTGATGCGGGCACAGGGAATCCTTGGCCCCCCACCGAGCAGAGGTTGCAGGGACACTCTCTGAACGTAAGCCTGAGTATGAGTCAGGAAAGGAGCTGGAGGGAAGGAGAAATTGGGGCCTCGAGTAGTCAGTCATGTTATAGAAGGAGACATCCCCTTCGCTGTAGTCCAGGAAAACTCCCACTCTATGGGGAGCCTGCCTAAGGCGCAGCTCAGTGTCAGGACTAGTACAGGCCCAATATCCGTCACCATACTGCCCCATAACCCAGAACCCCTTTTCTGGACACTCTCTGTGCCACTCTGTACGTTTCACATCTTCCCTACAGACCCCCAGAGCCCACCTACAGTTGTCTCCATGCCTGACCTCCACCTCCCAGTAACGTCGCCCTGCCGGGATGCCCTCGAGGCCCAAGACACTGAAGATGCCCTGTAAATCACCACAGGTGTCCCTCAAGGTCACACTCTTTTTGTCCTGAGAGATGGCCAGGTTGGAATGGGCAGAGCCTGCATTCAGAGTGACAGACCCTGTGGAGAGAGACACCAATCACGCAGGCCCTCCCCTGCCCGGTAACAAGGGTGCACATACCCCTCGGCCCCCAGCTTAGCTGCACAGGGAAGGGAGGGGGAACCCTGAGATGGGAGTCGTGTGACTCTAGTCCACGCTCTCCAAGCCGAGGAAGAAACCAGGAGATGGATTTGATGGTTAGATATGTCACAGCCTGCTGAGGACCAGGCCCAGCTTTGTGACAGTCAACTCCACCACCCACCCCACCACCATTGATGGTGCCAGCACCTGGGCAATCACAGAGAACATAAGAAGCAGCCAAAAGACAAAGGGGCAGCAGAAGGGGCACCCAGAAAGAACACGTAGTCACTCACAGGCCTGGAACTGTTCCGTCCGCCAATCTGCAAGAGAAGCACACAGTTCATATCAGGGATGTGCAGAGATTGTACACATCAAAATAAACACCTAGTCTTCTGAAACACAGTGACACAGAAGTTATAGGGAAAAGTGTGTTGGAAAACATTCAACTGATATGTATCGATCTCTCTCTCTCTCTCTCTCTCACACACACACGCACGCACACACGCACGCACGCACGCACACGCGCGCGCACACACACACGCACACACGCATGCACGCACACACGCACACACACACACACACACACACACACATTGATCATGCTGAAGCCTACATGATGAGGACTAAGCCATAAAGCTTAGCACCCAGCCATTGAGAGACTGGACACCGACCTGAACAGAAAGGTCCTTGCCCAGATTTCACTGTCAAATTATGCTTCCTCAGGTCCCTCGCCATTCAAGCTTCCTGAGAGCTAGGGTTATTTGAGAAGGCATGGAGGAGACTGAAATTTCTACGACCTCCACTTACTTATGAAGAACTGAGCTGGCTTTGTACCATGTTTCCCCGAAAATAAGACAGGGTCTTATATTTATTTTTCCTCAAGAAGGCACCCGAGGGATACTTTTCCAAGGATGTGTTATTTTTTTTACGTACAGTACAACAATCTACATTTATTCAAATATAGCTAAGTCGTCTTCTTCTGGAACATCATCATAACTCTCCAAACCCCAAATTCCATCCTGAATTTTTTGTGACTCTATTTCCTGTAGAACCACTGGCCCCAATCTCTGATGTTGAGCACTAGAGCTCTCGTGGGGCAGATGAGAAGGGCTGCTCATCTTCCTTACCGCTCAGTGATGAAATGCATGGGTTGTGCAGACACGCTGCATAGCCATGCCCATCACTAGGTCTCATTTTCGGGGTAGGGTTTATATTGCACAAATGCTAGAAATCCTGCTAGGACTTATTTTATGGGTAGGTCTTATTTTCGGGGAAACACGGTAGGTAGCCTGTAACTGTGAGCAGAGACAGAACTGCATCTAGCTGACCGAACCTGGGAAATGCCTGGAAACCATGAGTGAAACTCAAGGTGTAGAATAAGAGAAATCTTGCCCAGGTAGGAGGAAATAGAGAGGCTTGTAGGATGGGAGAGAAAGAAGTTCCAATCAGGAAACACATATATCCAGTGAGAGGGCAGAGGATAATGACCTCTCCTCCCCTCTTCATGGGCTGACGGGAGCAAAAACATCCCTATGTAGACCGGAGAACCCAAACATGCTGGACCTGGTCATTTGGCTCCCCCAAGAATTACCCAAAGGCTTGAAAGCTCCCAGGAGAAACCCTGCCATGATAGGCCCCCAAAGATGTCCATGCTGAAGCCCTGGAGTGTGTAAATATGTTACATACATGGCCAGGGGGACTTTACAAATGTGATTAAGATTAAGGACCTTGAGATGGGGAGATTATCCTGGATTATCCAAGTGACCCCAAACTAATCACACAAACCCTTGAAAGCGGAGGCCTTTCTTGGCTGTAGTAGGAGAAACAGATGTGATCACAGAAGCAGGGGCAGAGACACGGTGCGTGGCCGGCTTTGAAAATGGAAGAATGGGCCCACAAGTCACGGGATGCTGATGGCCTCCACCCAAAACCTCAAAAGCCAATCTTGGCCACTCTCCTTTCCTTCTTGTCTCCTCTCTCTTCCCTACCTAGTCTTTTCTTCCCCGATTGGCTTCCCACGGTAAACAACTTTGACGTCCCTAGCTTTCTTCTCTTAAAATCTTCACACATTACCCCTAAAAATCCCAACCAAGAGCCAAGCCCATCAAGCAAAACAAGATTCTCCTAAATGAAGAGAAAATGGTTGTGAACAATTATAAGTTGCTTTTTTGTGCCTATAACACAAACACATACACAGAATTTTGTATATAATGTCAGGTGGTTCCCAGACCCCACCTCAGGGCCATAAACATCCTGGGGGCTCTGGTCCCCAGATTTAGAACATTTGCTCTAAAGCAACTAATTCCTGAGCTCCCAAGGAGGCTTGGAAGAAGATATCTAGCTTAGACAGCAAGTCAGGGCATGAGGAAACCAAGAGAAGACCAATATTCCAGAGGCAGAGGACCAGGAAGAAACAGGAAAACCAAAACCAGACCAAAAAGCGTAGGAACTTTGGGGAAAGAGGAATGCAGAAAAGGAAGATCTGACCCCTGAAACCCAAGCCTGACTTCTAAAATCTTCAGACCAGCAACTCCTGCTCTACACAGTCGTTACCCTGCTCCAGCTTTGCTCACAACTGAACTCTGCTGTCACCGCACCGAGAAGTGCAGTTGACCGTGGTTCAGAGGGTGTTGCTCGCCGTAAGCACATGCGTGGAGGGTGGGCCAGAGTGGGCAGCTCTGCGCTCCCAAGGAGGAGACCTTGCAGTCTTCCCACGGAAGCTGCCAGGGTGACAGAGAGCAGGACACTTATCCCATCCTGCGTTGGAACCCTGACAAAGAGCAGGACACC